CATTCACACTCACACATTCACACACACACATTCACACACACACTCACACACACACATTCACACACACATTCACACACACACATTCATGCTCACACACTCACACTCACACATTCACACTCACACATTCACACACACACATTCATGCTCACACATTCACACACACACATTCACACTCACACATTCACACACACACACATTCACACACACACATTCACACACACACATTCACGCTCACACATTCACACTCACACATTCACGCACACACTCTGACGTTTGCATGCGCAGGCATTCCAGAAGGAGGCGCAGAGCAAGTCCCGTGAGGTCGACCAGATGGCAGCACTGGGCGAGGCGTTCATGAACAGCTGCGATGCTGACAGGGATGTAATTCGGGAGGCGGTCGCCGAGCTGCGGGCCAAATCCCAGCATCTGATCACGGGTGAGAGAGAGAGAAGCCGGCGCTAACGCCGCGTGTGTCACGCGAAGCCTCGCTGACTTTGCGTGGCGTGTGTGTGATGGCCATGATGGCATATAGGTTTGGGTTATGATAGAGTACATAGAATATATTTAGAATAGATGGATAGATTAGGATAGGTATTGCTTAATTGCTTAATAAAAGTTGGATTAGGGTTAGGGTTAAGAATGAGACTGCAGTTAGATTAGTGTTAGGAATTAAGAATTAGGGTTAAGGGTAAGAATTAGGGCTAGGGTTAGAAAATAGGGTTAGGGTTAGAAATAAAATTTCAGTTGGGTTAGGGTTAGAGCTAGGTTTAGGAAGTAGTAGGGCGAGGTCTGTGTATTAAGTTAGGGATTAGAATTCTAGAGGATTCTACGATTAGTTTAATTTTAGTGATGGCTGTAATGGCACATATAGGTTTAGATTGGGTTGATGCTTGGGAATGAGGCGGGTTAGAGTTAGGACCAAAATTGCAGTTGGATTAATGTTAGGAATTAATGCATGGAAATGAAATTATTTAGATTGTGTATGAAATCACTTAGATTGCATGTGAAATAATTCAGTTTAAATATGAAGTAATTTGGATTGTGAGTCAAATAATTTAGATTGCAACGGAAATAATAAAGATTACATATGATATAATTTGGATATGCATCTGAAATAATGTACATTGCATGTAAAAAAAACAAGTTTGATCGTCCAATCACGGAATTTCATTGTAGACGCTGCGGAGAAGGCGCAGACGCTCGAGGACATGGGGCGCCGCCTACAGGAGTTCGAGGAAAACATGAAGGAGACGTCAGCGGCCGTGGACAAGTGCGCGCGCAGGGCCGCCGAGCTGACGGCAAAGGGACCCGCCAGGGATGTTCGGAACCTGGAGAAAACGCGCGCTCTCCTGGAGGAGGTGGAGACGCTCCGGGGACCCGTCGAATTTCTCAAGGACTTTGTCGACGGAATTGTTGCTGACGCGCCACACGGCACTGACGCTAGCCCCCTGGTGGCAAGAACTGACGAGCTCGCGTTTAACTGGGAGGAGCTTAGCGAGCAGCTCCACCTGGTGGTTGGCGACCTCGACAACGCCAACGTGGCCGTCGATCAATGCAAGGTATGTATGTGTTGGTGTGTGTGGGTGGTCGTGTTAAGTGTTAAGTTACATGTGGAGTGTTAAGTGCCTTTATCCCTTTAATGCTCTTTAACCCATACTGCATGTTAATGATACGTAAATGTGTAATACATGTATGAAAACGCATAATGTATTTATCACGTATATATACACAATCGTATTGCATTGTGGGATAGCATAGGCGGGACATATAATATGAATTATTCTCTCCTACCTATCTCCACTTTCAATTCTCTATCCTCCTCCTCTATCTTTTCTGATCTATATAGATAATTATACCTAGTTATATTATCTTAATAATTGGAGGTATATATATCTATACTCTAGTATACTTAATATATATTAATATGTATAATTATGTATGGGAGATATTTGAAATCATCGTGATGTGTACCGTGTTTTATCGCCGCTCCTCTATGTAAACAAGGACATTTGTTCGCTGGCTAGGGAGCACGCTGAGGATCGAGTCACGGACGCGGATGAACCACCTGGTGGAGGAGAGCGAGCGCGGTTGGGGCGCAGGCAGGATCTGCTTGGTTTGGACGTAGACTCGATCGTAACCGCGCAGCTGGGATCGAGCTGGTGGGGCTCCGGCTGGATTACACCAGAACACATGCTCGCGCGTACGGGGGCGACGGACGCGACGAGAGCTGAGCAGCTTGCACGTAATCGGGAGGGCGGCCGCAGCGCCGGCTGCAGCAGAGAGGGATACATGTCGTAACTCTGGACACGAATCGATAAGGTATGCTGCGAGATGAACGACGAAGAAGAATTTACGTCGGTCGACTATGCATTAATTAAGAAGAAGTGCAGCTCAAGATTGTGGTGCCGTATTTTGAAGTATGTTGTCACGAAGTAGAGTGTGATCTGCAATGTGCAAGACTGCTTATTAGTGCACGACATCAAATATAGTATATATTTGCATCATGACGATTCATTAGTAAGGACAAGTCGGTTAACAGCATTCGTGTTCCGACGTCTGTCTACGTAGCCATTACGCCGCAACTCGTTAGTCACTGTATATTACAGCATTGCGTAACGACAATGTTCTGTAAAACAGTCATCTGTATGGGCAGGAATGGAGCAGCTTAAGCGAAGTGGTGTGCGGGTGAAGGATGCGTCGCGAGGGCGCGAGCAGCAGGGCTAGACTCCCGCTGGACGGGGCTATGGAAAGGGCGTCCGGTACAGCGAAGCGCTGGTCTGTTAAGACACGGTCGCGCCTTAGAGAAGGGCAGAGCGGCGAAGAACGACGCCCTCAACCTATTCGCCGCCGCGAACCTCGACGACGTGATCGGCCATCAGCCGCCAGCAGCCACGAGCAGTCAAGGTGACCCTACATTGCGCGTTGTCCTTTGTATGTAGACATGTTGACCAAGGTCACAAGAGTAATGTAGCATTGCTGACATGTGCCCTTTTGTATCGTAGAAGGGGGACAAGGTCCGCGCTGTTATGTAGACATGTGACAAGGGGTGCCCCGTGTATGTGAATTAGTGACAAGGGTCCCCTGTTTGATGTTAGACATGTGACAGGTGCTCCTGTAATGTGGAATGTGCAAGGTTCCTTGTAATGTAGAAATGTGGACAGGTCCTGTAATGTAGACATGTACATGTCCCTGTAGACTGATAGACATGGACAAGAGTGTGACTGATGATGTAGATACGTGACATAGTCGTGGCAGGGTGAAGCCCTGATGTTAGATGTGTTACAAGATGAGCCTATGTAGCATGTGCACGGTACTATAATGTAGATGTTTGACAGGTCACCCTTAAATTTGTGGCTTAAAGTGGGCAAATTAATAGAGACCGAAACACGTTGGTTTACATTGATGAATCAGGAGATAGATAAAGGGGAAGGGTGGTGACTCCAAATATCAAAAGGGAAATTAGTTATTTAGAGCTTATTAATACCTACGATTTACAGGAAATCATAGCAATGAGCTCATCGGAGCCAAGTACTTCGCCGCCAGGATCGTAACCAATCGTTTCCTCATTAGACACTCGCAATCGAAATACGACTAAAACTAGACACGATATCTCAATCTTTGATCATTAAGTTCAACCGTAGCGAGGCTAAATTGTGAAAAGAAAAGGGCGCTTACTAACCACACTGTCCCGGCATTGCTAGTTCACGGCGAGGCGCTGTGGCTCGCAGGCGAGATTTCATCCGATCTGCTGCTGATAAGCGGATTGAGCGGGTGCCTTGATGTCGTGCCGGCTGCCGGTTATGGAATCAAGGAATACCTGTAGCTGCTCTAACGGTGTCAGAGGTTATATCTAGCGAGCTGTTTGAGTTGATGCCATATCCCCTGCTAGCACAGCGCATGCCCGGTGAACGAAGCCAGTGGACAGGATGTGGTTAGTAGCTGCACTTTTGTTTTGAATTATTAGGCGCTCGCTACAGGTTGATAATGGACAAAGATTGGGAGAATCGGTTGTCGTATCTTGTAGTTCTGTATTTCCGGATGCGAGTGTCGTAATGTAGGTAACGATTTGGTATAGCGATGCAATGGGCGATGTACTGTGTCCGAATTTGAGTCAAGATTGGATGAGTTACGCGCGTATGTAATCGGTAGGTATATAAGGCTAGAATGGACGAATTTTCTTGTTGATTGGTGTCAACTCCTGGCCCTTTATCTACTCCTGATGCTCCTTGTTTACAAGTTTTGTTTTGTTTTGGTTTATTATTTGATTTCATTTTATTATTATAATTTTTTTTATTCTTGTTTATTTTTTATCTTAGTATTTTTTCTTTATATGACTCTGGACTTACAGTTTTGTTCTCGGTAGTTTTTGGATTTCTCACTAGTACATTAGGATTCGGGATTTCGACTTCCAGGATCACCAGCTTAATTAGCATGCGCTCTTGTCTTTCACCGACAGGCGTTTCCAGAAGTGTTCCATGGACGCCGTTGGCGCAGGACATAGAGGACGGTGCTGACCGCCGGCCAGGCCTGTTACAGTCGAGTGGCGGACACAGGCGTCAACCCGCACATCGATCGAAATTGGAGGGACTCGGTGACCGCTATGGGAGACTTGAAGGAAGAAGGGTATGAGGGCTGTGTTTAATCCGCGTTGCACGCTTTTGTATTAGTTTGTATATTTGTTCCTTGTGTTTCTTGTTCTGCTTCGGGGGTGGAAATATTAATTCCTTTTTAAATCTGAGTATTATCGGATCTACTAGCCGTGTGTGGTTAATGATTCATTCGCTGTGATATTGGGCTTATATACTGGTGTGCCTGCGTAGGCTCTGCGTGTGTGGTGCGTGCGTGCAGTGCTGTGCGTGTAGTTAATGTTAATTTGCGTGTATTCAAGCTGTACCTGTGTGTGTGCTGGTTGCGTGCGTGCGTGCGTGGTGCGTGGCGTTCGTTAATGATTCATTTGCTGTGATATTCCAAGCTTGTAAGCTGTGTGTATCTGCGTGTAGGCGTCGCAGCGCGAGCGCAGGCTGGACACGGCACTGATGCAGTGCGGCAAGCTACAGGACGCGCTCACGGGCATGCTGGGATGGCTCGGAGACATGGAGGACATGATAGCCATCAGAAGCCTTGTCTGCGCACAGGTCGTCAAAGCTCAGCTGCAGGAGCAGAAGGTGAGCAGTGAGAGTCATGTAGGGATGTAGGGTGGGAGGAAGAGAGCAGAGAGAGAGACGAGAGCGAGGAGAGGGGGGAGAGACAAGGAGAGAGAGGGGAGGGCGGGAGGAGAGGATGGGGGGAAGACAGAGAGAGAAGAGGGATAGAGTCGAGTGACGAGATGATGAGAGAAGAGAGCAGAGAGAGAGGGAGTAGAGACTGAGACGATGAGAGAGAGGGAGGGGGGAGAGACGGATGAGGGAGAGAGAAAGAGGAGAGAGAGAGAGGTGACAGAGCTGACATTGAGAGAGAGAAGAGAGAAGAGGATTGAGAGAGAGTGACGATGAAGAGAGAGAGGAGAGAGGAGAATGAGAGAGAGTGAGAGAGAGAGAGGAGAGAGGGAGAGAGAGATCGGGGGAGAGGAGAGGAGAACGACAGCGACAGAGGGAGAGAAGTTCTCGCAACGGCTGTGAGGTTGAAAAAAGGATGTGCGGCCACGCAAACAGCAGCGAGTTAATTGGCAAAACAGAACGCGCATACATGGGAATCAATCGCCTTTGCCAACCCAATCACTGCCAGACACAGCTCTTCCCTCACCCACCCTCCGCGTCCGTGCCTCTTCATTCACCACCGATCCTCCCACCTCACAACACCCCTCCTCCCCACTTCCCCACCCCTTTTTCCCCACCTAACACAACCCTCCCTCCGCTCCTCTCAAACCAACCCTCCCCCTCCACCTCACACCACCTCCCTCCCCCACCTACATACACCCTTCCTCCCCCACCTACACCACCACCTCTCTCCCACTCACACCACCCTCGCTCCTCCTTCACACCACCCTCCCTCCCTCTCACACCACCTCCTCCCTCCACTCACACCCACCCTCTACTCCCTCCGTGCTCACATTGTACATTGTTCACTTGCACATTTCACAGATTTGTGGACCAGCTGCTTAGCGACGATAACGACACCTGGACTCGCGGTCAAGTCGATGGACAGGAGTAGTTACTAAGGCGCTGAGCGACAGGGAGGCAAAGCAGGTTGTCAGACAGTTCACAGGATAGACACCCGTACAACTTCTCAGCGGTGGGAGTGTGTGCCAGTAATGTGTCAATTCACAGAGTGTAGGACGTCTCCAGGCTAGACACCGGTTCAATCTCTCAGCGCTGTGCGTGTCAAGGTATGTTTCAAGCAGGTGTCAGACAGTCTCACAGAGTAGAAACCGGATTCAATCTCTCAGCGGGGAGTGTCGCTAAATGTTCAAAGCGGGTGTCAGACAGGTCTCCAGGCTAGAAACCGAGTTCAACTCTATAAGCGGTGAACAATAGTGTCGAACTAATGTAAAGCAAGGTTCAGCGGTCTCACAGAAGCTAGCACCCGGTTTCAACTCTCTCAGCGGAATGGTGTGCATCGAATAATGTCAAAGCATGGTGTCAGACAGGTTCTCACAGGAGCTAGACACCGGTTGAACTACGGTCTCAGCGTGTGTGGAGCAGTGATCGAGAAATAATGTTCAAGCTATTTTTCAGAGTAATGCTCAAAGTGATGTGCACGTAGTTACTCGCTCTAGCTGAATGGGGGTGTAATACGGTAGTTTTAGATTAGTGCAAACCGTTGTCAGAAAACGAACATTAGTCTTAACTGTATGTTAACTTAAACTTTGTGTGTGTAGATCGGCCTCTTATTGGCGTGGTTTCTGTCAATGGAGGTGGACCAAGGGTCGTTAGCTTAGGGCAAAGGGTAGAGTTGGGGTCAGGGTTAAATTGGATAAGGTTGACGAATATTATGGGGTTGAGGTTATAGGGATAGGGTTTGAGGGTTTCTTGGGTTAGGGTTAGTTTATTGGGATAGGTTGGGTTAATTATATATAGGTTGAATTTATAGGTTATGGTTAGGAGTATTAGGGTTAAATTGGATTTAAGTATAGGTTACTATATATGGGTTTAGAAACTCAGTCCAAACTTGTTATCCGACTCAATCATCGAATTTTAGATTATCCGAACAGGATCTCAAGGTAACGTGGAAATCATTTAATAGAGCACTAGATCACCTGTTATTTTTGAACAATTCATTATCCAATTCAAAATCTCATCACCCGTCTCGTTTAGGGTAATCGATGGTTTAACTGTTAGTTAGGGTTGGGGTTATGGTTAGGTTGGGTTTAATTGGGATTAGGTTGAGTTTCATGGGAATTAGGGTGGGGAAGTTTAAGTCTAATAGATTATTCGTGAGGGTTGATGAGATTATCTCTAGTTACCGATGGGATGTTGTGTTGCAGACGAGACCCAGCTACGCACGAGTCAACTCGAAACGGCACTAGAGGTCGCCACCGACTTCCATAACAAGGCGGAGCGTTGGGTCACTGCTGGCGCAGACGGAACGCGCCGTCCGCTAGTTCTCGAAACATGGCAACGGACAAATCCCAGATCGAGATGCAGATTGGTCAGCAGCAGGTGAGCAGACGCAGCGGCCATTATGAGCAGTGTATGATATTATATATGATATATTATATAATATTATATATGATAGAGGAGAGAGGAGAGAGAGAGGAAGAGGAGAGAGGAGAGAGAGAAGAGGCGAGAGAGAGTAGAGAGATGAGAGAGAGGAAGAGAACGCAAGAGGGAAGAGAGGAGAGAGAGAGAGACGGACAGTAGGAGGAGAGAGAGAGAGGAGAAGAAGAGAGAGAGAAGAGAGAGAGCGCGAAGCGATATAATTATTAATGATGTACCTACCTTGTGTGTGAGCCACCTGTTGTATGATTTTTTGGACGCACACACAAGTAGTATGGACCCTGTCTAGCATTGGACAAGTGCAAGGTCGTGGCTCTCCTAAATGTGCAGCAGAGATGGTATTTTCACACATTGTTAACGCTCATTCGTGTTTTTTTTTTCACGCCAGGCACTCGTTGCACAGATTTGCGGACAGGGGGCAGCAGTGGAGCAGATGCAGAAGACGGGGCGGATGCTCATTGCGCTCGTGTCCGAGGATGATCGCGAGACAATTGCCAGCCGCCTAGCAGACACTCAGCAGCGCTACGACAAACTAAGGGCAAGTGCTGCCATCTACCTTACGATAATGAAATTTTTAGTGTTGACCTGTTAATTTCGATTTCGATTTCGATTTCGATGTTTAAATTTACTATATAATCCTTTCTGATTTGTTGTAATCTCGCAACGACATGGACTGTAATTTGACAAGATTATGAATTTATATAAGAAAATCACATCTTTGCTGGCATCTTTTTAAAGCACAGCAGCGTGCAATCGTTGCAAAGATAAATAATCATGAAAAAAACGAAAATGAAATTTATTTGAATTTCTTCTCAATTTAACTTGATCTCAACTGATATTTGATGGTATCCTCGTTCCCGATGTCGCCTGCAGGATGACTGTCAGGGACAGCAGCAGCTGCTGCAGCAGGGACTCAGGAGCCTGGAGCAGTTCACCGGCTCAGTGCAGGACTTTGTCTCCTGGCTAGACTTGGCCGAGCGACGCATGGCCATGTTCACGGCGCCCTCTGTGTTCGTCGAGCCCCTGGAGCGGCAGCAGGAACAATTGAACGTACGTCGCGCAGTGGTCGGGTCGTGTCTTTCTGACCAATCGTAGGGTTATGCAGCGAATCTTACAAATAGATAAAATGTCTTGATTCAAGGTCAACGCAAAGGGGATTCATTGTCCTGCATCGATTAAACTTTAGTATTCTTAATATTGTTTCTCTATTATCATCTCATGCCTATCATATTCATCTTTGGTTAATGACCCAATCTGGCCTATTCTTCTTCTACTAACCCTCGGTCAGAATACCCACACGGGGGCGTAGCTAATCCATTTTTCCTGATGGGGGCAAAACCACATACACGTTGTGTTCTGTGCAGGTAACAGTGGGTTACTCGCTGTTGACAGTGTAACAATCAAGGGTTTCTTCTTAGGGGAAATTAGACAGGTAATGGCCAGTTTGGGAAAAAAACACGCATTATGGATTCAAAGGCGTGTCGTAGTCAGGTATGCGGACGCTGCAGGCGGACGCGGAGGAGGGGGAGAGGGGGAGAGGGGGAACTCCCCTCTCTCCAAAATTTAAAAAATTTGAATGTGAAAAATTGTTACAGAAGCATTTTTACAACGGCGATGTTAAACTTGACAACGGCGGTGCGCCTCTTATGTATAAGAAACCCTGCAAGCTACATGTAACACATAAACATCTCGGGGGAGGTACTGACTGAACCCTTACCCCCCCCCCTCCTAACTTCTGCTAGCTGTAGCCGTGCAATAGATCGAGGAACACAGGTGCTCAGAGGTGCTAGTACTGCACCGAAACGTATCGTTACATTGTGTCGTGCGTGTCGGTGCCTTGCAGACGCTCTACGGGGAAGTGGAAGAGAAGGCGGAGAATTACAAGCTGGTGATGATGGCAGGAGAGGAGGTGATGAGAAGCACATCCGGTGAGTGGCGCGGGGGTTGAAGGTCGTGGGAAGGTCGCGAGAATTAGAACGAAATTTCTGCAGATTGGATGCTTTCGTGTTTCACGCTACGATTTTGATACTAGCTAATAATATCGGTATTAACTTACCAGCATTAAATTTAATGAGTGTTGGCATTTCGGGTTACCGTTGCCTTAGAGAAATTGTCCGTAAGGTTCCGAAAAACACAATCAGGAAATCACTGGTCAAGTCGGCCTCATCGTCAGCCTGACCATCGATCGTTTGGTCGGCCATGTTTTCTTATCGAGCTGTGATAGGTCAGTGAGTTCTGAAGATGTGGAGACTCATATCTTTCCTTCTTTTCGTGAACTTACGAATATGCGTATAAATATACACACATGTTTACTACGATATACTTGCATGTTCATGCTGTTGTTAAAATCATTAATTATAAGTTTAACCATTAAAAACGACGAATAATTTCTCCGTTGACGTCAGGTGATGAGGCGATGAATGTGAAGAACCAGCTCGACAATGTCCGCCAGCGCTACACGGACTTGTCCAACAGAGGGAGTGACCTGTCGCAGCAGATGAATGACGCGCTGTCATTTGCGCGGCAGTTCCACGACTCGCACAACAACATCAGTGATTGGCTCCTACAGGTGGAGCCACAGCTGAAGTCTGCAGACGCCGTCGGTGTCGAGGAACAATATCACATCATCAAGGTTTGTGTCCATTGTATTCACTACTTGTATTAATTATTAAATATTATTATTATTAATAATTAATATTATTATTATGAAAATATAACGTATATAGTTATTAATATTATTATAATAGAATTTTTGCACATATTAGTTCCCTGCACACATTTCATGTCATGTGCAAGCTGAAATATTTCTCATCCAATACAGCATGTATACATTTATACGTATTTGTTATAATCTTGATATAGTTTAAATCTCTATATATATATGCGCTACGTCTCACCGCACACTGCCGGATGTTTTTCAGTCGCTGGAGGCTGAGTTGGAGACATACAAGGCAGTGATGGAAGCCATCACTGAGTCCGGCGCGCGGCTGATGCAGCTGTCGCCACGAGAGGGCGCTTACTCCATCAAGGACATCATGGGGAGAGACAAGCGGCGCTTCGAGGGAATTAGCGAACAGATACAGAAACGCAGCGAGCGCCTGCGCCACTCCCGCGCTAAACTCGGCGAGGTAAGCGTTCACTTGTTTCGCTGCGTCAGTCGGTGACGGCAATCCGTTTTTCGGCTGTTGCGGGCGTCCTCGCGATGGCGATCTCAATGTGGCGCCACCTGCTGGTTAGAAGGGTGTCGGGTTGTATTTGCACAATAAAAAGACAATTAAAAGGAATAAGTCTAACTGCACAGCCTACCATAGCAAGCCGAGGGTATCGGTGCCGGTGCGGTAGCCGGTGCTCTCATTGGTCGAGATAGATGAAAATCAGATCGATTCAGGTCAGGGGTCGAATGCGCCCAGTGCTTTTCCGAGCGGTGCAATCCGGGCGCGCACCCCCTTTAAAGAAGTGACCCCTTCGTGACCTTGCAGTGACCCCTTCGGGACCTTGCAGTGACCCCTTTGTGACCTTGGCGTGACCCCTGCATGACCTTGGCATGACCCGCTGGCGACCTTTCAGGTTACGCTGGACGTCGACGACATGGTCGAGTGGTTCCGCGGCGCCGAGACGGCGCTCACCAGGGCGGAGCCACCGTCGACGAACCTTCAGAAGCTGCGGCGGCAACAGCAGGACCACCGCTCGCTGCACGACGAGATTGGCCAGCAGAGGGCGCGAGCGAGGGACCTCGCCGTCGCCGCGCGCAAGCTCATGCAGGAGACGAGTGGCGACGACCAAGAGAGCATCCGCGCGCGGGCCGAGCAGCTGCGGGAGGCCGGGGCGCGTGTCGCCGCCTTCGCCGCCGACCGCGCGGCCGTCCTAGAGGGGGCGCTACCGCTCGCGGAGACGTTCGCGGAACTTCACGAGGAGCTCGGCCGGTGGCTGACTGCGGCGGAGGACGCGGCTCGCAAGCAAGAGGGCGCCACCGCTACGCTGAGCACGGACGCCATCAAGAAACAACAGGACACCAATAAGGTGAGGGTGGAGGTAGGGTGGGAGGAGGGGTGGAGTAGGGAGGAGCGAGGAAGTGCTAGGTAAGGAGAAGGGGTGAGGAAGAGGGGGAAGAGGCTAGGTGGAGAGGTAAGGGTGGAGGATGGGGAGGGATGGGAAGGAGGGGTGGGGAGGACAGGGAGGTTGGGAGGTGAGGCCGGGAGGAGGGGGAGGTGCTAGGTTGGGAGGTGTGGTGGAGAGGAGGGGGAGGTGCTAGGTTGGGAGGTGTGGTGGAGAGGAGGGGGAG